CATTGACTGTCGTATTTAAATAATAAAACAATTTGTAAATAAATAATTAAATAATAATAATATATAATCAAAAAAATCTAAATCACAGACAAATGTATAAATAAAGTCACAAAACATTACGTAATCTAAAGATTACGTCTTTCCTAATCTTTGAGGATTGAAATTGCAATACAGCAATTATTATGTTAATTATATTTATAAAAATTGTTTTTAAACCCGTTATATTTATTAATTTCAACATAACTAGACGTAAAATATTTAAACTGTGATGAATATGTTTTACATTTTCCAAAATGTGACAAGGTCATATAATAGTCGCAATCTTTATAATTAATATAGCAGCAAATAATCTTTGAATATAAATCTAATTCATATTTCGTTGATTTGATAATATTATGTCCATTAAAATCATTAGTAAAATTATAATGTGTATTAATTATATTATTAATTAACAAGGTTATAATTTGCTTATTTAGTGAATGTTCAATTGGGAACATTTGTTTCGAGTAATATATTAATGTTTTATTAATATAAGCGTTGATTTCATTTGAATTTATATTGAATTTCATGACATTTGTAACATTAATTGTATTAAAATTTTCTGTAAAATATTGTCTCAAATAGGGATCAAATAAAATGTCTTCAAAAGTGTTTTCATAGCATAAAGTGATTGCAGGAAACGATTGAAAGGAACCCTGATTTTCATTATTAATATTCTTGTATTCAATCATTTTTATTGAGGTTTGAGTTAAAAATTGTAAATAACTTTCAGTTAATACATACATTTGATAACATATTATTGGGATTGTTATGAGTTTTATTATTCGTTTCCATTTGTATTTTATAAGTCTTTCAACAATTAATTTGACATATTTTAAAAATATCTGCAGTTTTAAAATTAGTATAATATTTATATAATATTTTATACGAATTAATACGAGTCTAATGAGAGCACTGGTATCTATAAAAGACCGTATCATATCAAAATCCCGAAAATCAAAATCCCGAAATCAAAACCCCGAAAATCAAAATCCCGAACATTGAAATCCCGAAATTCATAACCCCGAAATACATAATCCCGAAATCATAATCCCGAAAATCAAAATCCCGAAAATAATAAATATATCAATAATTATTTTAAATTTAGTTAATAATATAAAATTTATTGATACTATTATAGTAATTATTTTAAAGCTAACTAGTGTCATACTAGTAAATAAATATCTCATCAATCATTAAATGTTGTAATTATTGGCTGAATTTTATTAGTGTATAACCAGTGTATGATTCATAGCGATAATCTCATTAAGGTTAGGTTAGGTTTGAACATAATTACTCTAATAATATCAATGAATTTTACATTTACTAAAGTAAAAATAATTATTTATATAGTTATAATTTTCGGGGTTTTGAATTTCGGGATTTCAATGTTCGGGATTTTGATTTTCGGGGTTTTGATTTCGGGATTTTGATTTTCGGGATTTTGATGTACTCCCATGAAAGACATCCCAAACCACAATCCAATCAACCCTCCGATGTTTGACATGAAGTCAACGAATGAATACTTTTTGTGTGAATTATAATGAAATTCTTGATTTATTTTGAATTCAATCCTAATTTTGCTGTCATTTTGTGCCGAATATGAGTTGTCTTCCAATTCTAATGAATAGTATTTTTGTTCACAATTTTTAATACATTTCTCTTTACAATAGTCTTTATTAACAGAATATTCTGTATTTGTATTATTATGACCACATATTCTATACTGTGTTTGACTCGCATTCATAAGAATAAACTCTTCATTGATGTAAGGATTGGGTAAACATTGAAATGATTTGTTGTATAGATTTTCAATACATTTTGTATAACAGTTAAAATTATNATACATTTTGTATAACAGTTAAAATTATCGTTAATATCTATTATAAATACATAAATTATGGTTTTAATTATATTTTTAGAAATATAAAAACTATTTACCGTTTTCTTTGCATTCATTCATATAAGGCGTGGAAATGAGACGCAAATGAGTTGTCGTTATCTTCAGTCTTGCATTCAATCCAATTCTCTTCGTCTGAATCGATGTCTCTTTCGATGCCATCAATGAAGTGATCATTGGATTCACGAATAGATACAAAATGAATGAATCGTAAGAATGTATTGCATTTATAAACCTCTGTCCTTTATAGTTATCTTCACTAATTTTATTATAATTGGCTTCAAAATATGCATTAATGAGAAACTTTTGTTGAGTTTCATAACTAATGTTAAACTCAACGAAATCATTGTTTTTGAGATAATAGTTGTAATGATTTGTATAGAAATACGTGAAACATATTCCGAAGTCTTTATTCCCATAAATAGTCTCCAAAACGGCATAACTTTGCGAACAATCAGTCATTACTTGAGAATCACTGCTATTATTCACATTATTATTTGTATTAGTTTTGTATTGTGAATGAAATCTGCCTGAACANAACTTTGCTAACAATCAGTCATTACTTGAGAATCACTGCTATTATTCACATTATTATTTGTATTAGTTTTGTATTGTGAATGAAATCTGCCTGAACATTTGATCAATTCATTGGCTTTTATTGTAAACTCATTATATAACTCATTGAATGTATATTTTGGTAATAAAATGTTCTTATATTTAGTATAGAATTCATTTAATTGATAATTTTTGTTACCAGAAAGTTTTTTACATAAATGTTTCTTTTCACCTAAATCATCTAGGCATTTTGTTATCAACTCAATGTAATTTTGTTGAGCAGTTTGTTTGTATAACTCGTATTCATGGGTGAGATTAAAGTATTGATTTATTTTCATTTTATCGAAGTAGACATACCTTTCCGTACAGACAGTAATCGGCGGTAAACCCAGTCTTTCCGATGGTTTAACACTGAGTCGATAAACATATGGATAACTGAAGTACTCTTTTGTCATTTCTATTCCTCCGTAGAATAGCACTGAAAGACACAACACTTTTGCACATAATTTCATAAACGATTGAAAGTTGTAATGAATTTTAATTTTAATTAAATTAAAAATATATAACCAAAGATTGAACATGTTATAAAATAAACTTTTAAACTTTAAAATAATATTAATTGTAAAAATATATAGTTTTGAACAAATATATAATAAGCCTAAGTATATTAGTTTTAAAATAGCCATTTAGATATTTTTTAGTTGATCTAATGTTAAGTTTAATTTGAAAAACATTGAATCATAATATAATATAAAATTGTTTTCGTGTGATTTATATATAATAAATAATACAAAATACGCCCAACACTCCCATTATGTCAATATATTTAATAAATAACTTCAATTTAATTTGTATTCAATTAATTAGATAGGCGTTAGAAAAATAAATAATCTACTACGTTTTGAATTGTATAAAATTAATTTAATTACAAGATACTTTTGTAGATCACGCTATTGTATTGTAAAAACACAACTAATTAATTGTTTAAATAACTGAAAATTTATAATTAATTTGAGCATGTTAATAATCTATTTGAATTTGTTTGGTGAATAAACTAATTAATATACTATTTTTGTAATAAATTATTTATTTAAATAAATTTACAGAATTATTTTTAAAAATTGTATAAAACCAAATTACTGTATTAATATTAAACAAAACTAATATATTACAACCTTGATCCCCGGCGCCTACTTTTTAATGATTTCTACTCCCTTTCCCCCATTTATCTGATAAAATCCAAAAATAAGTTATTAAAACAAACATCTCTAATATTACCACCTATCCCAAAATATAAACACAAACAATTATATTAATTCAATTGTTATTGATATTTTCCTAATTATAATTCATTTCATTCTAAGATTTTATTCAAATATAATATAACCACCCTTACAGCAAATTAAATCTAAAATATATTATTTTTTATATTTTCATAACCAAAATATTTTAGGTGATCATGTTAATTGTCACAGCACCGGTAGCTTCACGTAATTATTATTATTATAGTAGACCTAGTATGCATAATAGGTACATCGGTCATATCAAATGTTTGGTAGCTTTTCTGGTGATATTCCTAGTATTAAAGCACAAAATGAAAATATTTTAAGAATGTAACTAGGTTAATAGGTGAATTAAAATTGTAAACTAACTTTCCATATGAGGGGAAAGTAGTCAAACTGTGCGTTCATTGTCTCATTCCAGGGGTTCTCGACGTAAAGTTCCTTTAATTTGGTGTGAGGTCTGGAAAGGTATTGTCGGCCACTTTGTTATAGCCATACATTGTGTGAAATCCCTGTCCACTGATTACATTGCGGGCAGTGATGGCAAAGTGTCGGTCGAACTGCAGTCTCGACACCGAATCGATGCCAACGAACAATACGTTCGGCAGATCCGGAGTTTGCGGTAATTTCCGGACAGTTGGCGACTCTATGACTGATATAAGTGGTACCACTTTCTCATACCTTTCTAATTCAAATACAATTCAAATAAATATAATTATTAGTAATTTCAAGTTTACTATATATTAAAATCTTATTAATAACTAATCAATAAAAAATTACTTTGTTATTTTATACAGTAAACTTAAAAAGGTCAGATAACTCAACAACAATCTAATTATATTAGTTAGGACTAGACTTTAAAATAGATATATATTTCAGATAAATTTATATTACAGTTTGTATTGTGAGCACTCTTAAAAAATATTATTTTTATATTTAAATTACAGTATTTATAATTTAATTAGTTATTCATACCTTCATGTACAGTACAATGCACACTGACAGCAATATCATTAGGAAAATATGTAATTATCAATGGATTTAACTCCACTTTTGCTGAATAGTGTACTTTATTATCGGACTTTTCATCTCTAATCACACTTTTTGCCCAACATTTCAATAATTTTTGCGAATCACTCGTGACTTTAATTCCCGTAAAATTGTATCTCTCTATCGAAATGTTGTACTTATTTTTAGGTGCTTTACATACAATCCTTTTGCCCGACATATTCACATACAGGGGCCGCACACAAATGTATGTATTAATTGATAATTACTTACAATTCTTGACCCAAACCTCAATACAAATGATTGAATACAAAGACATCGCTAATAATAACCGCATTTCTCTTCAATCGATTCCTTCAATCACTTTATGCTTTGAAAACACTTTTGAAGACATTTTATTTGATCCCTATATTAGACAACATTATCTAAATATATTCAATAAAATCAATTTTACCCAACTGACTAAATCCTCAATAAATTCCACTGATGATTATATTAATAAATTAATTCTATATTACTATAATTTCTATAATAATGATCAATATAGTGAATATAATATTACTAGTATGCACATTTTACAGATGCTATTACGATATATGATTGTCAATACTTATCATGAATTTAAGCAAAATATGTTTAAAATTAACGATAATATAATTAATTCAACACTATATGAACTACATGTATATTCATTAATAACAAGGTGTATGACAAATGATAAAGATTGTGAAGAGTTTTTACCAAAAATTAATATATTATCCTATTTTGGCAAATGTCACACATATTTATCAGACCTTAAAAACTACAGTTTACAATATGACGATTATGATATTAATCTAGGTTTTATACAAGAACTTCGTTTTAATGAACTAAAAAATAAAATTTATTTTTTCAAGAAAAGATTTATAATACATTCACAAAACACTTTCCCACTTATTAGCGATAATGTCATTGAATTCAAAGACAATCCTAATTATGATGTGAAAACAATTAAAATAATTAAATATTCATTCAAACGATTGCCGAAACCATACGAAACTCAATGCTATGAATATTCGACAAATGAAACACAATTTCATTGTTTGAATAAATGCTACGAAAAGTCATATCAGAATCACTTCCAATGTATTCCCAAATATAA